ATTCGCGGGGTTTTATTTAATTATATTTAACTTGCCGGGAAATAAGAAGAAGAAAACGGATTAATACGTGATGAGGGGGAGACCTTCGCCAAGGGCAAAAAACATTAAACATGCAATTTTTGCACAATGTTAAACAGCTCGGCTCCACCCGGCCGCTGCGGAAAGCATCATTCAACTTCTGAGATTAAATGGTAACTTATTATTTTTAGTCTTATACCTTAAAGTATGAACGGGGGGGGGGCATCCGGCTCACAGTTCTGAGGGCGGGGGTTCGAATCTGGGCTGTGTCCTCCCTGTGTTGAATTTGGATGTTCTCCTTGTGCTTGCTTTTGTTTTCTGTAAGCACACCAGCGTCCTTCCACATTTCCACATGACCTAATCAGTTTCAGTCAAGTCAGTAAGTCATGAAGACACTTTTGTATCTCTTACTAGACGATCAGCAAATTGATTTTTTTGTCGGGGTGATCATATAATAGTGGGGTGCATCTTATATTCAGGAAATTACGGTATTGTACATGGTAAAAGAATCTAAAATATACATTTACAATAAATAGAGATATGTGTATATTATATGTACAGGCAATAAAAACAACAACAAAAACAGTTTCATTCTTGAACAATTTTAATTTTTTGGTTTTTTTTTACCAAAGACTGAATTCCATCTCCTTTGGAGAGGTATCGGTAACATATATCCGCATTTCACTGATCCGAAGTCACGTGAAACAAGCCAGATAATTGCACATCTTCTGACACGACCGCACCTCATTATCACTCTCATTTCCTGTCACATTTTTTTCCTTCAGTCAGGATATCGGATGCCCCCCCCCAACCCCCAAAATGGCAAATACATTGTACGCATTCTCAGCCAAATGTTGGGTCACCAAGGTTTTCTTTTCCTCCAGTCATGCCCGTTTTAAAAGCCATCAATCAGGATTGGTTTGCAGCACTTACAAACAGGAAGCTGTTTATTTCCTGCGGGCAACAAGTCGCTCACTCATCCAAGCAGAGAAACAAACTGGCAAGCCTCGTGTCCTCCTGTATGGCCGTCAAACAAAGCCGCCCTTCAATTTCAATTGTTAGTGGCATCTTTAAGCAAACCATCCGAGTCTGCTTCTCAATTCTCATCCTCCTACATCCTGCCCGCCTACCCGCACTCCCAGCTTGGCTTGGACCGCTCCCTTCCTCCGACCTCTAAGGGGCCATCTGACTGGAGCCATTGAATGGCAGTGGAGGCTGAGTTTGGTTGGGGGGGTCTCTCTGTGGCTTGATAACACCTGCATGGCGCCTCCCGCTGCATGTGTGATGAGCCACATGCAGAGCAAATATTAACGTGTATATGCAATGGAAGAAGGTGTGAACGTGAAAGGAAAATTGTTATTTTGCGGAAGAGGAGAGCGGCGCAGTCGGACTAAATCCAGCAGATGGCAGCCTCATCCAAAAAAAAAAAAAAAAAGCCATTTTCATAGATGCAGAAATGCTAGCGTCTGCTAGCTATTTGCCAATTTGGCAGACCCATCTGCGCCATGCTGGGTGTTCCGGAGAAGCGAGGGTGTGTCCTTGACGTAACATGCAGCGAAATGCCAATTTGGTGGCAGAAAATCGGTCGCAAGTTATGCCTGCCTCGACCACGTCTTCAGTGGTGGCAGAGATGGTCCAAGATCGAGTAGGGATGACTACATGAGCTTTTATTACATGAGTTGTCAGCAATTATCACCGGCTCATTTTGTTTTTAATGAGGGTACCGTGGTCGGTTGCCACACCAGCTCACGGTCACACACGAATTGCTGTGTCTTTTCGTCGCACGGTTGCCTCCATGCGACATTTGAATCTACCACATCTAAAGGGAATGATGAATTAAGTCCTACAACGGCGCGCACCACCCTTTTTGAAATACAGCAGGTTGGCACGCATCTGTGAAATGAGTCCCAACACCCGCTCTAGAATGCCTTCGCAGAGATTAGTGCAATGCAGTGAGCCGGTCGTAAAAAACAAAGCCCTCACCCTAAACTCAGTCAAGCGTAGGGCACACGTTGACAACTATTCACATTCATATTCAACACCCACATACAGTATATTTAAATTTGGTGTAATTGTACATTTTAATTAAACAGCACTTTATAAAAATATTGTTCATAAATGTGTAATAATTTTGTCGTTGTTGGTTTTAATTTTAAACATTTCTTGAAATAAAAGAAACCCAAAATGAAACAGTTCAAGGAATACACATTTCATATACAACAAGGCAAACCAACAGGTGGCGGCCATCTTGATTCTTTCGAACCAGCCAATAGGAACACTGCTCAGATATCATGTGACATGTTTCTGGCAACTGGGTGAAATGAAAAGCAGATTTTTAGATGTTCTATTCAGGACATATTGCAGTTGCTATGGATTATTTTGGTAGATTGATATGAAAGAGCAACAGTGTCCATAAAAATCTAAAAAAAATAAATAATTTCGAATGTCTTGAAACTGACAATTTGTAGCATGTATTTTTGGGGAAACACTTAAATTTCTCAATCATCTTCTAATCTGCTTCTCCTCACAAGGGTCGTGGGCGTGCTGGAGCCTATCCTAGCTACCTTCGGGAAGTAGGCGGGGTACACCCTAATCTGGCCAATCACAGCCCAGACATCGACCAATAAACATCCATGTGTTACATTAGCCCGCCCCACATGTTTTTTAGGATGTAGGGGGAAACCGGAGTACCCGGAGAAAAACCACGCAGGTATGGGGAGAAGATGCAAACTCCACACAGGAATGTCGCAGCCGGAATCGAACCCTGCACCTCTGCACTGTGAGGCGGATGTGCTAACCTGTCTCACCATGCAGCCTACAAAAAATAATGTGAAAAAGTAATGATTTTTTGTATCGATTTTTAGGCATGCTTAAACTGTAGCAGTGTTCGGGGTTAGCGGATTAGGGTTTCGGGAAGATCCTCGCAACAAGTGACAAGTAACTGGTGAGAGGACTTAAGAATTGAGGGTCAGGGGTTACGGTGAGAAAGTGCACTTTGCATTCTCGAGTTGGAATGCGTCCATTTCATCTTGTCCCATATCATTTGCGTGGCAGCAAACGCAGACTGGTGACGTCACCACAAAAAGCTCCATTTATTTAATGAATTCTGTGCACTATTGTTGCAGCATACTGTTGGGAACTGTGCGTTCACAATGGAAGGTAAATTACAAGGCAAATTACGAGTCTCTAAAAATTCATCACTAGTTCCCAATCAAGAATTTCTGCACAAACCAGGATTCCATTCACTGCAAAAGTTCTCTACAAAGCTTCCCAAGGGAAAAAAAAATCCAATTGGAGCCAACATAATGGACAACTAAATCAATACAGTATTGGCTTTTTTTCTCCCGCCCAAGCCAGTTTGGATGTCACTCAAGCCCAACTTTTTTTGTAACCTCAACGATAACAAATCACTCTCGCTTTCTCTCTCTCACACACTCCCACACACACACAACTGTTCAAGATGTTTGCAAACTCTGAAGTCAAAAAGTAGAGATGCCTACTGCAGCGCTGCAAATCAACAGCATTCACGGGAACCGTTTGAAAAATGAATTCAACATGCCGTTTATGTAACTGGAGCAATCTCCATTTTTTTTTTCTCGTTTCCAAACAAGCACAGTCATTGTTTGTGACATCTGCGCACAAACAGCACAAACGCCACTGAGATCTTCAAAAGTGATTGTAAGTCTGGTTTCCAATCGGCCACACAAGAAAGCAACCCGACTCATTAAAGAAATGCGGAGGCAAAAATGAACACACCACATGTACGGCCTTGGTCTTTCTTTCGCTTGTATCACATTTTTTCCACCTGCAAGGCACTCAAATCTCTTCACCACGACTTATTGCTCACCGACAGATGACGCAGCATCAGGAGCAAATAAGGGTCCAATATTTTGCTCAAGGACACTTTGGTATGGCCCCGGGGATCAAACCCACAACGTGGTTGCATGCACAGTAGGATGCATTATATCTAAAAAGTGATATAAGTGAGTTAAAAGTTGCCTCATTTTGTGAATTCACCTAAAAAAAAAAAAAAAAATTCCAAGAAAAAAATTCCAAGAAAAAAAAAAAACCTCTTGAAATTTGTCCATAAAGCTGAACAGACTACTAGAAGTAAATTTTTAAGAATAAAGTTGTAAAGATCCATCAAAAAGAGTAACCGTTTTACTACTAAAAGGAAGCAAACGTCATATTCTTCAACATAAAGGCACAAATTCCAGGTGGACTGAAGTGAAAATGTTGAAATGTCAAGATTTCTTTTTTCTTTGTAGGGCCTCGCTAACCATGACTGAAGTCAAAATGTGAAAAAGGTGTCACGTTATGAGGGACGGAAAACATTTTTCCATGGAAATGGGGTGGGGGGGGGTAAACATTAATTTGTATGAAGAAAAAAAAGCGTAATTTGACTGAAGTGAAAGAAAAAGTCAAACACACACGTTAAAAAGACGTTCCAACAATATTCTTGTGAATAAAACTGTCGTCTACAAGAATATACTTTACAATCAACACGCAACTATAGTACACTCTTGTAACTGTATTCACATCTCCTCGCTTTTGTTCTCAACATTTTACTTTGTGTAGCCCTGACATTTCTCAGTAACCTATTTTAAAAACAAGCCTTCAAAACTAATGGCGATTAAAAAAAAAAAAGCAACAAGAAGCTTGACTTTAGAGTCAACGCCAACATGAATTTCTCAACATCTCCAAGACATCAACAGGCTGCCCCTGACATATGGTTGGCGTCGTTGGGGGGGTCAACACCCTTGCACGACACTCATTCATTTCACCGGAATATACCCACAAAACACACATACACACAGACACACACATGAGTCTTTAGAGTGGAATATCCCCACTCAAATAAAACAGAAACTGAGTAAAAACCCACGCGCGGGAACATGCACTGAGAGAGCAAGTAGAGTGGAACACGAGCCTGTAATAAGAGCCAAAGCGGAACTCCCGCGGCTCTGAGCGCAGCTTTCTACCTTTGCACGACTCCTGACGACCGCACAGCCCGCGAGACGCCGGCGGGGTGTGCTCGGTGCGCCCGACACCTCCTCACGAGTTGATCGGCACGGCTAGTTTCCACGTTCAGCACCACGGAGAGCGCGTGGACACGCTTGCAAACACTGGCAGGCCGGGGTACGGGACTCAAGTTTGACGCCGCCTCGGAGCTTTTGTGGCCGGGGCGAGCATGCCTGCCTCCTCGGAAAAAGGAGAGGCGTGGAGGGAGGAAGCGAGACACGGAGGGAGGGAGCCAATCGCGAAGCAACTCGCAAAGCTGCGCAGCGCCAGAGAGTCTCCAAGGACCGGCGTGACGCGCGTGTGCGTGCGCGTGGATCTCCAGGCGTGCACGTCTGCAGCAGTAAAGCCACTTTTTTTTCCCACCCCCTTCCTATTTACGACCGACTTATTCTTCTTCCGGCAATGAGACACATCGTTGCTTCGTCTCTTTTGTCTTCAAGACCTTATCGCGTACGTTCGTCCGGTCAGGGGGGGTGGAGTAGTCCAAGTGAAGCGATTTGAATCTGATTAAAGTCCCCCTCTGAGGTGTAAACAAGTAGCCTATGCAGATTAAACCCAGGTTCTCCTGCAAAAAAAGAAAAAAAAAGACAAAAAGGAAGATAAGGAGATGACAGGATACCGAGGTGATGCGTGATGCTGCCTGCAGCCCGCTCACGAGCTGCAGTCCTAACACTGAGGCGGCGTTGAGTCGTCCTCACACACATGAATGTGTGGTGCAAGTTTTTGGAAACACTTTTAATCATCTGAACCCCAAATAAATTCATTATTTTTTTTAAAGTGCCACAATTTGCTTTAAAGTGAAAAATCGATGGAGGCGAATATGGGAATTACAACAGCCGGCCACTGATCATCAATCAAAAGGGCGCACACTCACACAGAACAAATAAAGTCACTTAATCTTGCACTGATTTAAACTGAGACTTTTTTATTTTTTGCCTCTTCATTTCTTCGAGGGAAAGAGACTTGGCGGATGGCAAAAATTGAGCATAAATGAAAAGAGGAGGGAGGGGAAGAACTGGGACTTGTGTGCTTATCAAAAGCTGGTGGTTGTGCATAATTCATCTTGAAATGCTTGATGAGCGAGTCAGCGCAAATTTGATCATTGATTGTTTTTTGTTTTTACATTTAATATTTTTTAATTTATTCTAATTTAAGATTCATGCTGTATTTTTTCTTGTTAAAACATACATTTTATTTTTATTGTAAGTTAGGGTTACGTGTTCTTTTTTGCTTTAATTTATTAACTTTTTTTTCTCTCCCATTTTTGCATTCATTTAAATCATTTCTAGTATCTGGAGTAATATCATTAAAGAAGGGTTTGGTGTGTTTTTTTAAGGTTTTCCAATTGGGTACATGTAATAAATTAGCAATTTCGAGCGCTGGTATTGCAGAGGCTCGAATACAAGTCATCCCATGAGAGCTGGCAGACAATGGCGGTGTTGTCTGGGTGTGGCTGCCGTCTGAGGCACCCGCGCATCCTTCCCGACCTGAGCGCAGCAGCGCCCTCTGCTGCACAAAGTCAACAGCCAGCGAGCAACCAGGGCGCAACTTCAGTGGCCACATGGGAGACCGACCGACTGCTTGTGCGCTCTCCGCTTTGCTTCGCAGTGCAAGCGACATGCACGATTTATGAGTGCACTTCACAAAGCTGCTGCCTGTAAGTGGGCCACAACGCACACAAAACAAGTCCCGGACATCCAAGAATATATTGAGCAGTGGGTGCAGAGTGAGAGAGAAAGGAGTGTGTGAGAGTGCGTGTGTAAGAGAGAAATACAGAGACAGACAGAGGATAAAAGTAGTGTGTGAGAGCGTGTTTGTATAAGATTATGGTAGCAGTGTGTGTGTGTGTGTGTGTGTTCACCAGTCCCGAGTGGGGAATCTTGCTGGAAAGTCGCAGCCTTGCCGCTTTTTGCGTCACTGTGCTACTGAGAGCAGGTTTAATGATTTCAACTCTTTCATGAGCACACTGTTCCAATCGAATGAGAGAAGCATTCCAAGAGCTGCTTTATGTTCAAGCCCAATCGTTGCATTGGCTTTTCCCGGCTGCATCACTTGTTGAGTTCTTGGTGCTGAACGGCCTTATCCTACTAAGGGGCGAAGATTTGCGAGGTAGCCGGATGTTGAGTACTAGTCAGGGCTTGTCAGCATGGGCGGAGCTACAGGGTGGCCTTTCTCACTCTGTGCCCCGAGGCCATCCCATCATAATGCTGCTGCCATTTTCACATGGATGCACTATTCTTAGACTCCTGATACTCTGCCACAAGTTTTTTTTATAAATAATAACTGTTTATTTATTGAATACATCTAAGTTTGCATCTTGACATGATGCAAACTCTAAAACAATCTGAGTCTCACAATTATATGACAATTTTTGGTTAGCTTAGCAATTAGCATGGCTTCTCCATCTTTCCTCATGATCCCTTTCAGAAGAAAAGTAGCTTATTCGCCATCAGACAGGCGATGATTACCAACTTAGGAGTGACTCCGCAATGTGTTTCGCCGGACTAGTAGCCAGCCGAAGCTTGTTCCTAGCACGCTGGTGGGGCATAAGTGGCATTTGAGCTTGCCTCGACCTCCAACTGTTCGCACTTATTGACATGAGCGACGAGCGTACGTCCAGCCCAGTGAAGCTTTTTGAGACCGTCTCAGTTTGACTATTCGATGGGTTTTCATGAGGTGCAAAATGCTGATTTTGCAAAAGGCTTATGGGTACAAGTGGCTGGTCTGCCCGTTCAGTACAATATGACTAAGTTGGCAATCATAATTTTGTTGGCTTTTTTATTTCTTTTTTAGGGGGCGGGGGGACGCTACAAATACAGAGCAGGGCATACCAGTTATGGTAACCATAGAACAGAAAGTGGAAAGTTAGCAGCAATGGCTGTAGAAAAGTGGTACATGCATATCAGTGCTAGCTGCTCAGTTGGCAATAATTGTGGCCTTGAAGTCAACGTTACAGTAGTAGAGCACACTAATTAGCACTGTGGGATCCCAAGTCGCGTAGATTGCACCTTGAGAGACCCCACGTGGACTTTGACTGTACCTTTTCCATCTCACTGTGTCGAATAAGGCTGCTGGAGTCAGCAAGTTCACAATGGGGAAAAAGCTGATGTGCCTTAATGAACTTGTCCAACTCAGTGACAGAGAGACTTAAGATGGAGTTTGAAAAGCTTTGACACCGTCCCCCGTATAAAAGACAAACAACTTCAACTCCTCATGGCACACTCATCAATTTCATCCCCTCAATACGCATCACTCATCCTGAGGGAAAGTGTGTGTGTGTGTGTGTGGGGGGGGGGGGGTCAATCAATAAGCGATGCCCATAGAGTGAGTGGACTCTGCAGCTGGCTAAAATAGCAACAACAATCAGACAGCAGAGCAAAGACCTCCGCCAAGGCTGAGACGTTTGTCACTTGAAAAATCGATGAGTGAACGGTGAGCATGTTGGATCCTGGGAAAAGGAGGTCAGGTTACATCCACTGGCAGAATTCCATCACAATCAATCGGAGCAGAAGGTAAAACGAGGCTACATAAGCACAACAATTGAATTTATTCATGTATGTTGTAGTTGGTATATTTCCCCCGTCCACCTACTTCATAGCTTTTTGAAAACTAGGTTTTTTTTTTCATGACTGTCTTGGTATTTATTTAATTACTCGATATTATTCATGTTTTCATCTATTTTTGCCATGCCCTGAATTTTTTTAAAAACACCCAGTAATGCAAAACCTCCACTATGCTAGCTTGAATACATTTCCCCTGCGTCACAACTGTGCGTTAACCCCTGCTTAGAGTCATTACATCCATATGGATCTCAAGTAATGAATGATTCATTTCATTATGACCCCCGCGGCCCGATAGCGCTACGTACAATCTGACTCAAAAGTTATTACGGACTCGGCGGCAAAATAACGACTACGCGGGTGCAACCAAATTGCTCCGCTGGCCTCGGCAGCTCTTTGGATTGATTGTGATGAATGGGACAGCAAATGAACATATGGTGCAGGTCGAAATGAAGTAGAGATTCTATCACTATTTTTTGACAACCAGCACAAAAACATCCCAGTTTGAGAAGAGTGAGATTTTTACCAACGGAAAATGAGAGTGGGGCACCAAGCAAAGTCGAACACACCATAAACAGCTAACTTGGTGAGCTAGCAGACACAAATGTGGGGCAGCAGAGAGCTTCTTTTTTTTTTTTGTCATTATTTTAGTGGAATCCTGGTTATTAACCACATTTCCTATGTGGCCACACAAAAGTCCATTAGCCCTGACTTTTTATCGGTACCTTATTTTTAGGACTATAAGTCACTGCGGGGTAAACTTTGTTTGACAAAAATAAAGTTTCTGTTGGATTCAAAACATCCGCTGCAAAGTCCAGAAAAGTTTGTCCTTTTTAATTGAAAATGGCTTACCATAATTGGAGTTCCCCATCGCATTGTGGCCAAAAGCTAGAATAATCCTGGTCGCTTAGTGCGCCTTTTGGTTGCTGTAAATCGTAAATCCTTGTCAGGGCGGAAGCCACATGCTAAACTAGCAATTTGAAGCACATTAGTTGCCATGATTACGATTTCTTCTTCTTTATTTTGGCAAAATACTTTGGGTGAATTAACACCACTTTACCATGCAGATGCCTCATGCTTAAGAAGGATGCAATAAAGAGGTGCACAGTGCGACTCGGAATTCTTGTTAAATGAAGCCACTTTCATCTACAATCAAACACATTTTCAGTGGAACCGGAAGTTTGTATGCTTGGGAGCATTCCTTGGACTCCATTTCAACTGGGGGCACCGTGGGAAAGTTGAGCCACAGTCACGATGCATTTTCTTAGCGTGACTACTGAGAGAGCAGAAAAACAATGAGCCTGCTTGTGCTGGAGCTGCTGTCAGCCACAGCTCAGGCCCAGATATTCACAAGCAGAACTCCCCGAAGTCACACACCACCACACCAAGCGCCTCCTCTTAAGGACATGCATGCCCACGCTTGTAATCTTTTGTGTGTTCAAATACCAAATGAGTTTAAAAGTGTGTTTGAAGTCAAACACGTTGTGTGCGTGTGTTAACAGCCGGAAACAGAACACATCCAACGAGGTATTTGCTTAGCAGAAAGTACAGCAAATTTACCACATTTAAATACGACCTCAAGCGCTCCGTCTGAACACTTCGATAACGTTTCTCACAACGCCTTGACAAACACAGCCTGTGGGTTTAAGCCCTGTTGCTCTCTCACCCGTTTAGAACCCCACTCGTCCCCCAACATGCATCTGCACCCCTCTGCAGTTAAGTCGCAGGCTCTATATCAGAAACTACAGTACGGTACAATGGTATTGGCGGGTTATGTGCGCCCGGATCCCTTTATTTATCTTTGGAAGATTCATGTTCGCTTCAGGACAAGCCGGCACACCCACAGTGATGACTTGTGACTCAGCGTGTCCCACGGTCATATATCCGTCTCGACCACACTGCTAGCCGAGGCTCGGCACCGGCCGACCAATTTGCCCCACTTCAGGAGGAGGCAAGGTGAAAATAAACATTAAATATTGATTTTGGGCTGTGAGGTTCCAGTCTGGAGCACACTAACGCACTTGTTCTATTTGACGCTTGCTGTTATTTTGTGGGATCAATTTTGTATGGAATTTCATGCATTCAATGTGAACAGTGTTTTGTGCAGTATGTAAACCGTTACCTTTCACGCCTCTACCCGGGACCAATTTCAACTAGTTGTCAAACTTTCCGGTTTTATTTTTAAGGACTAATCACAAACACAGTTAGTTTATTAAAAAAAATAATAATAATAATTTAAATCAGTCGTTGCATAAACGGGCCCAGTGAAAAAAAATGATCGACAATCATACAGTACTAAAGTTCTTTCATTAATACCTTGATTGTGCAGTGTGATATCGTGTGGGTTGTGACTTTTTTCGTGATTGTCATTAAAAAAATTACTATGTTAAGACATATGGGGAATATTAACAAAAATGGGACAAATCTGGAAAGTCATTCTCAAGACCTCTATTTGAGGTGAAACTCAATGCGGGACAAAATGGACAAAACAAACTTG